TCCTGGCTGCACAAGAGTTGCAGCGGTGGGAAAGAGAGGTGGGAATAGTCCCGGTGACGGATACCAAGTTTGCACTTTTTGAGGAGTTCATTTTCCTACTCTCCACTTTGCTAGGGATGCGCAGGAGCAAAATAGTTCAAACATGGTTCAAAACTTGAAAAAGTCTAGTTTGTGGGATTTGAACCCATGACTTTTCGGTTGTCGGACTACTTACTGCTCCGACATTGAATTGAATAGTAAATTATCGATAGTAGGTATGATAACTCGTCGATCGTTTCATCCACGAAGACGCGCCCCACCAATATTTGGTCGAGGGAAGCGCGGGGTGCGGGGAGTTAGATCCGAGCAATCCGAGCGTCATTATTGTAGTGTGCGTGTGCACTCACGGATGATTTAGCGTGTACCGATAACATTCAAACATTAGCGGAAGGTCTTCGTGGATGAAACGATCTATAATAGTGTCTTTTCTGTTTTCTTTTAATAGCAGGCAGTTGAGAAATGTCTGGCGAGTGAAAATCGGCTTGGGTGATCAGTTGATCACCCAAACCGCCAAACCAGTTGGTTTGGCGGTCTATTCCACTTTGATCACCTGGCTTTGATGACCCAGGTGATCAAGTAGACTTCCAGCGACAATTTAGTGTCCTTTAATCACCCACGGATATAATGCTCTGGGTGATCAAAGTGGACTCCAGTTAAATTATTATTTTAGTATCCTTTGATCAGCTACATACAAACCTACATACTGAGAAAACTTGACGCCTTCTTAACCTGTCATTTTTAAGCTGTTTTTCATCAGAAGCCTCATTACTGTTTTGTTCATGTAATAAGTACTTGATGTCAATTACATATGTATATGATTTCTGTGTAGATTAATTTTTAAGGAAACAGTTACTCTAATTAGCGATAGTATAGTTTAATTTCTGTGTTCCAGCTCAGATTTATTTGTCAAGCTAATGTGAGTTTTATTTGGCTTTATGTAGGATGTTATGTACCTAGGGTATGTTGGCAAGATCTAAACAGTGAATTTTCATTTACCAAATCAGATTTTAATGAACAAATTCTCAAGATTTTATATGTTTGAGATGTTGTGCCAGACAATATTAACTGATATAAATGAAGAAAATTCACAATTTAGTTTCTGCCAACTCTCCCTTACACCCAGTGTATTTGAATCGGGATTAGAAATGAAAGACAGCAAAACCAGAATACATTTATTTGTAAGCGAAACCTTAAAACTATTACAATCGGCCATAGACTAAAATTAAAACTTGTCTATTACACTTGATAGCTCTTTTAACCTCAATCTATTTTTATAGGGGGTAGAATGAAAAATGCAGTGTTAATTTACACACATTTTAATATAAAATGTGCACGTGATCACAGATCGATAAAACAATATGGCGGTGTGCCATTTGATAACAATTTAACAATATTCCAAATAATAACTTCAAACATTGCATTAGTTACATCAGTCTATCGGTTTTCATTAAAATGGATATAAGGCAAGCTTCAAGCAAAATTGTTTTACTATGTAGTTATAATGTTGTCTGTCTAAAATTAGCTTTCTCTTTCACTCCTCAATAAAAACTGTATTAAAACTTAAGTTATTCGGAAATTGTATTTTAAAAGCATCGGAGTACACGAGTCTATGGATGTTTTAGTTTAAACGATAATTTAGCAACAAATAATTTACAATATTTTTGAGACAGAACTAAAATTATGCAATTTTTATAGCCTTGTCTCTGAAAACGCCTTACAATACCAGATTCAGGCAATTATAGACTCTTAGAAAATGTAATTTAAAGATTATTTTACAATAAAGCTTAATTCACGTATTTCCACTACAAAATAATACTATTACTTGATAAATACCTTTAAAGACCAAATTGCATTTCTTTTATCTTCTCTGGAACCCTGTCTAACGCTTGATAAGCCTATTTATTAATAAGTTATTGGATAATCCTTAAACGTAGCTTAAACTAAAATATAACTAGACGAAATGGCTACTGTGTTGCAAATGCGTTACGAAACTGGAGTCTTCATCAAACTTTCCCTTCCAAGTCGTATTTCTTCTCGGAGGCGTGCCTAAAATTAGAGAAAAACCAATAGTTTTATAATTATTCAAGCTAATACTAACTACTAATAGCTAATTGATATTGCAATTTGTCATTTGGTAAATTGAAATAAATACAATCTTCAGAGAAAATAAAGTAGCAACGGATATTGTTGGGTATTCTTTCTTCTCTTATAATAGGTTCGATAACCAATTTAACTCATTAATTAGGAGCAAGTATGTCTAAAAACTGCCGGGAGTTGTATAATTTTTTTATCTGACATTGCGACAAATTAACCCCAGAGGTTATAACCAATTGCAATATCTAAAATGATTTATAACTACGACTACGGGATAGGTTGAGTTGAAAGCTTTACTTGTGTCCTTTGATCTAGAAATGATTCCATTTTGCAGGTTGCATTTGTACAAGTTCATGATTAAGTAGCTTAATATGCTTGTATTATGAGTGGGTTTACCACAATAGTCCAGCAGCGGCAGGGATCGAATTAGCCTTCTTCTGATCTATAATACAGGGTGTCCCAGAATGGGTGAATCAAACTGATAGGGAAGGTAGCTCTACTAATGTACTATCCTTAAAAATATGAAAAAATAAAATAAAGCTCATAAGGACACAATAAAAATTGTTTTGAAAAAGTGAAAATAAATCAGCTTTGCCTGAGTATCTGGCTATAATTGCTGCGTTTGGAGTTTATTTGTACTTTTTTCTTACTAATATTAATTGTACATGATCGCTTCGTTTATCTGTAAACAAACTTTTGAAAATAATGACTAGATTTCGAGTTTATAGCACATTTTTAAAAAAAAATCCGAACTCAAAATTTTTTTTCCATATTTTTTAGGGATAGTACATTAGTAGAGCTACCTCTCCATCCTGATTCACGCATTTTGGGACACCCTGTATAATCGGTCAATCCAGCACCTTCACCGTTAGACTATTGTCGCTCCACCTTCATCACTAGTATAAACTTCATCAGTTTTGCAAAATGGTATCACCATTAGATCAACCTCTAACTACAGTATACATACCACTTAGTGTTGACCAAAAAGTACGTCTGTCCATCGTCACTCTTCGACACATCCGAACTATTCTCACTGTCAAGCACTAAATGATCCTCTCTGAAATAATATACCACAAAAACATTCCCATAAGTCTCCAGACATTTTGTACCCCTTTTGAAACTCCAAATGCAGTAGCGTTTCCCGTTATAGCGTCCCGTTGTTGCATTTACCGATAACGTTATTGACGATGAAGGCGACATCTGTTATGAGGTTTTATGAGGCTGTGTTTCCAGTATAAAAATTCCAGTGTTTTCATTGTTTTCCGTGATATTTTTGGTTTATGTTATTCATTTTGCTGGTTTGTGTTCCATGTTTTTAATGAATCGATGCAGAATGAAGTGATATTCGTATATCTTTGGAATTTCTCCAAGTCTCCAGTCTTTTGAAACTACGTCTGATGCAGTAGCGTTTCTCATTATAGCGTCCCGTTGATGCGTTTACCGATATCGTTATTAACAACAATGGTGACATCTGCAGGTTAAGAGGTTTTATGAGGCTGTTTTTATATGACATTTCTTTTTGTATGTGTTCCATGTTTTACGTTTGCATGAATCAATGCAAATGTATTTATTTGTATATTTCTGGATGCTTCTTTTCTTTTCTTGATCTTGATATTATGTTTTATATTGTTGTATCTACAAAGTTTTAGAAAGTATACTTATCTTGTGTTTCATATTTTAATGAAATGAAGTGATATTCGTGTATTTCTGGAAGTCTCTTTTCTTTTCTTCAGCTTTCATGCTCATAATACTGCTCAGGCTTCTCGTCTTATGTCTGTATTTGTTGTCTTCAAAATGGCTTGCTGGGTGATGTTCTTCCCATTTCTATTACAAGCTCTATTATATGCTTCCCATGATTTTTTTGATGATTGTAGTATCGATTTATAATAATGGTAAAGTGACACAAATGTAAGAGTGAGAGAAAGGAGTTAGAAATCGTAGGATAGTCAAGAATGCTTAGACTATGTTAGAAACCCTTCCCCACACCGATGTAAGTTGCGGAAAATTCAAAACTTGTTTCCACAATTAAAAAAATGACATGTCAAATTAAAGTCAAGATTTTATAGATGACCCAAGCTGAACTGTCCCACCAAACTCAATGACAGGGGGGCGCTACCATCGTTCAACTATATGGTTTCCAACATGGCAAAAATCGGAAACAGAGCGATCCGGTATTGACGGTGGCGCCCCACTGTCAATGTCATGCATAGGACAGTTCAGTATTTTGGAACTATAATCAAGATTCAAAGGATATAAGATTTCTAAATAATTTAATAGTAAAAAATCTCTAAATAAATTAACACTAAAATTCAAGTGACAAAATTTGACATGTCAATTTTATTATATTCCATACGGTTATTGCTATCAGTATGCCATGTCACGAGTTGATAGCGAATGACCATTATTAAGTATCAGTTAAGGACAAAGTAATAAAAATAAAATTGATCATTTTGTTGAAAACACACTCAATGAACTTTTCAAATTATCACCAATGATATAAAAAAATGTAGCACGCCCAATGTGTTATTATTGTGAAAACATGCATTATTTCGAACCATTATGTTCAACATTTTTCAGAGGAAAATTTGTCAAATCTAAAAAGACAGATTATACAGTTAACTCTTTCAATAAAATGAGCTATTTATATCCTTTGTCATAATGTCAATTATTTGAAATAGTTTTTATAACTATAAATTTTATTCTCATTCGTCCGGCAGTTTCAATGTGCCCCTTTCAATAAGAATGGGGCAGGTTGAAATTGCAATGCAGGGTCTTTCATTATTTTCTTTTATATTATTCATTTAAATCCTCAATGACATCAACAAACGTGACATAGCATAACTGTCATCTCTTAACCCTTAACGCACCTGTAGAAAACGTAGTGCTGCAGGATGAAGAATACATCGAAGACCAAACTGAACAGGCCCAATCCAAACTTGGTGGCATCTCCGAAGAACGACGCCCAGTCGTTGTAGTTGTAAGCGTTTAGCGCCATCTGTAGTATGGAGAGGAAACCGCCCACGAAGTCTAGGAAGATGTTGCCAATCGACCAACCGACGGTCGATTTGCGTTTGTAGTTCATGTAGGCCTGGAAAAGTGGGAGTTTAAGGGTTAAGCAAGAAATGCAGGTTGCCCATGACCTAGGCTAACTCATGCTCGCATTCACAAAGATTACTATGAGGTCTCACAGTGCGCGTGGACGCACAGGGTGACACACGAACCAATCACAGAACTCTATTCGACGCTGTGCATTCGATTTGCTGCTTCACTTAAGCAAGTATCGTTTGTGAATACGGGCGTTAGTAGCTTAGCTTGCATAGCTGACGCAGTTTTCCATAGTTGTGTGCAAACTATACAAACACTATGGAAAACTGCGTCAGCTCTCTAACTTAGCTTAGCTCTTGATTTTGCAACAGACATTAACATCCTTTATCATCATTATTCATTATTTCATCATTATCCAGCTAAGCTAAATATACGCTTGTGTTAGGAAAGGATTCACCACAATTCAAACCAGCGTTTCGAAGCAGCCACTCCAACACCGCAACAGGCTATTGTGGTCTGTATTCTCATCCCATGATAATCATCATCATTATCATCATCATCACTGTAGGACCTATTGAGCACGGCGCTCTCTTATTTATCAATGGAGGATTTTAGAACAATAAGCTACTGTATACTCCTGTCTGCAAGTAACTGTGTTTTCAAAGCTATCTAAATGTTTTTTTAGTTGTTAAATAAATGGAAAAAAAAAACTTTACTAACCTGCGGCACATACTTAATGAGCGTAATGGACAGTTTAATATAGCTGCAGTAGTAAAGGAAGTCCAGCCACTCCAGGATACCAAAGAAACCCAGTCCGGCTGTCACGATCACAATCACGGTGAACAGCGACAGAATACCGCGCCCTGTGTTGGAGACGCGTTGCTCGTCGCGCTGGAAAGGAACTCATATAAAATGTAATAAATCTAATTTATCAAGCCAATTTCAAGCCATTCTTAGGCTGTATTGCTGGAAGCCAAGACAGCCTTCAAATATAAATTCAAATTATTTATTGCATGTCACATGGGCATTTGCCTTACGGCTAAGAAAAGGGGACTGCTTTTCTGTTCTCATAACTTCTTATTTACGTGTCCTGTCTGTAAAGTATTTGGGCTATGTTATTTGGTAACAATAACGTTGGACAAAAATATAATGTTCAATGAAAAACGAAGAAAATAGGTACCGGGACTACTTCCCAAAAACGTTATCTGAAATTTCGAACATTTCAATTTTTTCAATCCTTCTCACGCAAAGCCAGCATGAGCGACAGTATATTGCTGTCGCGACTGTGCGACGCGCGCCCGCAGTGAGTGTGCGAGCGCGACAGCAACATAATTACGCGCGAGCGATAAGGATGGGTAGCTTGGGGTCATTGGACAAAATTCTACGTGCTCACGGACCAGGCTATAGATGACTGTTAAAATATTGAAATACGGCAATGCATTCATATACAACTGCACCGACCATCTACATAATAAAAACCCAATTTTAAGATCCTTGTGTTACAAAAATATGACAAACTGTCTCACCTCATACATGAAGCATTGGCTAATAGTGATGAGAGTCGCGAAGGCCGCGTGGAGCGAGAAAAACACATCGTTCAGCTGTACCGGGTTCAAGCCCCGGGGGTGCCGGCTGAAGTATTCTGCCTGGAATATACAAACACAAATACACTAAGTATCACTTTATTCAAAACTAGCGGCCGTCCGCTACTTCGTACGCGTGGATCCCGTTTTACCCCCTTAAAGGTGGAGTTTCGTAAAATCCTTTCTTAGCGGATGCCTACGTCATAACATCTACCTGCATGCCTTTCAGCCCGATCCGTCCAGTGGTTTGAGCTGTGCGTTGGTAGATCACTGTGTCAGTCAGTCAGTCACCTTTGAGTCATATGTAATGATTTAGATAGATAGATAGATAGACTAGCTGACCCGGCAAACTTCATACCGCGTATGTTCATCGGAAATAGTGAAAGAATTTTTCAAATCGGTCCTGTAGTTTTGGAGCCAATTCAATAAAACCAAAAGTAAAATCTTTCCTCTTTATAATATTAGTGTAGAAAAAAGATATTTACCTATAACAAGAAAAACATATTAATATTGAAACTTCTTTGTTTTGTTCCTCCAAACATACAATAATAGGTAGAGGAAAATGGCGAATATAATGGAAAACTCGTGGCGTAAGATCATTCCAACGTGTGTATCTAAATAAAAAAATTGGGACTATTTTCTCTAAGCACAAATCGGATGAGTGGCGTTGGGACCAACGTTGGGGCCAACGTGTGAAGCCGGTCATATAAATTAATAAGTAGGAAAGTATTGCAGCCGAAACGTCAAGCCGTGAGTACATGTAACTCATATAAAAATGTCGCGTTGAAACCCGTGTTTCTCTATTTTAGGAAAGTTTCGTAACCAAAGGTTAATAAGTCAGAAAACAAAGCGTACGCGCATACGTGACGTCACTGTAGTTTCCGCACAACGCAATATACGTAACAATAATACGGTTAACTTAAACTTACCCCACTATAGTACGTTGTAATTAGGCTACAACAATGTTAAAGTGTTAATTGAAGATGATTACGGCTGTTCACTTCTAATTGACTTTCTAATACGTGTTCTTTTGTTTGAATAACAATAACATTAATGTAATTAAGGGTTAACGTAACTACGCATGGAACTCCTGCGTGCTACGGTCGGAGAATGAATTGAAACTTGAAAGTAACTATGAATTAGAAGTAATTTGAAAAACTTCTGACGTTACAAAAGTTACAGAAGCTAATCAGAATCTCTTCAGACTAGTGAAGTCTGCAGTTCAAGCATAATGTTTAACTGTTAAGAAGTTAAAAATTACCCAACTATTTTCTTGATCAGCGGTCGGTAACCTTATGGCAGGCACGGGCCACAAGGTCGCAAAATAAACTGGCGGGCCTCTAGTTTATTTTCTAGCACTTGTGATATTAAGACTAGAGGCGCGCTTTCTTATTAATTAATGCATGTATTTTGATTATCTACAAAATAACAAATTATCTAAAAAACAGCTGAAAAGATGAAAGCTAAATAATACTATCTAATAACTCACATAGCATACAAAACATAAAGAAACTTACCTGAATCTCCCTAGAGAAGTAAAGTCCGCAGTTAAAGAGCGAGTACATAGTAAAACCCATGATGTTCAACGCCAAAAAGTCAAAGTTGAGGCCGACCACGCTCTTTCTCTTGAAGTTGATGTAGATTTGCGGGTAGAAGGACACCGACCACGCCGCGAAGTAGATCCAGCCCATGATGTAGGAGATCAGGCGAATGGCGTGGGAATGCATCACCGTGATCCGTAGAAACACGTCGTCCATGCTGGGAAATTAAATATTTTATTTTAGCTTGCTCACTAGAGCTATGGCGCTCCCTCTGGAGTTTTTGTTTCACGGTCGTTTGTCGTTACATTGGACGTATAGTAAATAAGTATCAGGTTTTATTTTTGAGGACATCTATAGCTAAGTTAAAGCGGCACATCTTTTGTGGTCCAGCTATAACACTAGGTGCCTCCTAACTCATTTGGCCAGCTTAGGGAGTATAGGCCAATCCTCCTTTCGATTATTCCTTTAAGAAGATCCTACACCACGGACAATAAACATCAATTAAGGGGACCTATCCTATAAGGAAATTTTTCCGTGTCGCGACAAGATCGGTGTACTAAATTACAGAAACAGATGAATGCTGTATTAAATTAAGCATTTGTCACGTTCATGTAGATAGGCATTGAAGTAGGAACTAGGTTAAAGTAAAGGCAATTAATCATTGGTAATGACTTTTTTAAAGACTAGAAAAAGAAATAACTAATTTAATGAGTAATCTGGATTTTTAGATATCAAATGTTGGTATTTCATAAGTCATTCAATGTTTATTTATCTCTGATATAAACAAAATAACCCCAAGTTTATTTAAAGTAAAACGGAAAGTTTATTTAGATAAACAGCGGGTTAAAAGTTAAGATACAAATAGAGCTACACACTTAGTCATTAAAATTATCTAAAGGTTAAAATTCTATGCACCCAAATATATGTTTTGACTCATTTGATTTATATTTTTATTTAACNTACAAACATAAATATACAATAGGTATCACTTTATTCAAAAATAGCTGATCCGGCGAACTTCGTATCGCTTATGTTGATCAGAAATAATGAAGGACTCTAATGGCCTATTTCTGCCGCTCTCTACAAAAATGGTTTCCGCAGAATAACAGCGTCATGTTCTGGGTTTTGTTATTACAGAGCATGACCCATGCTGAGCGGTGGCCAATTTTGGTTCGAACTACTTGTACATTCTTACTTTTAATCTGTCTTGTTGTTAAGTTGGAACCAAAATAAATGTGTTTCTTTCTTCTTTCTAATGGTGAAAGAATTTCTCAAATCTATCCAGTAGTTTTGGAACCCATTCAATACAAACAAACAGTAAAATCTTTCCTCTTTATAATATTAGTGTAGAAAAAAGATGTTTACCTATAACAAGAAAAAATATGAACATTGAAACTTCTTTGTTTTGTTCTTCCAAACATACAATAGGTAGAGGAAAATGGGAACTCGTGACGTAACATCACTTGAAAATATCGTATTATTGAACGATAATAGTTTGTTTCCAAGAATTTGGTAAGAGAGTTTAATAAATGGGTTTATCAAACGATGCTTGCTTCATTGAAGTAGCAAACCGAACGCACAGCATTGAATAGAGCTCTGTGATTGGCTCGTGTGTGACTCTGTGAGTCCACGCGCACTGAGAAAGCTCATAGTAATGTTTGTGAATACGGGCGTTAATATTGTGCTTTTAGGCCAGCTCCAGATGTTGGCCCTAACTCCCAATAAATGTTTGCCAGTTTTCCAACGTGTGGATCTAAATAAAAAAATTGGGACTGACTATTTTCTCTAAGCACAAACCGGATGAATGGCGTTGGGCCCAACGTTGGGGCCAACGTATGAAGCCGGTCTTATAAATTAAGAAGTAGGAAAGTATAGCAGCCGAAACGTCAAGCCGTAAGTACATATGTAGCTCATATAAAAATGTCGCGTTGAAACCCGTGTTTCTCTATTTTAGGAAAGTTTCGTAACCAAAGGTTAATAAGTCAGAAAACAAAGCGTACGCGCATACGTGACGTCACTGTAGTTTCCGCACAACGCAATATACGTAACAATAATACGGTTAACTTAAACTTACCCCACTATAGTACGTTTTAATTAGGCTACAAAAATGTTAAATTGAAGATGATTACGGCTGTTCACCTCCAATTGACTTTCTAATACGTATTCTTTTGTTTGAATAACAATAACATTATTGTAATTAAGGGTTAACGTAACTACACGTGGAACTCCTGCGTGAGAGAATCCTCTACAGAGAATGAGTTGAAACTTGAAAGTAACTGTGAATTAGAAGTAATTTGAAAACCTCTGACGTTACAAAAGTTACAGAAGCTAATCAGAATCTCTTCGGACTAGTGAAGTCTGCAGTTTAAATTAACTGTTAAGACGTCAAAAATGACCCAAAAAATTTCTTACGTTTTTCTAGATCAGCGGTCGGCAACCTTTTGGCAGGCACGGGCCACAAGGTCGCAAAATAAACTAGAGGTGGGCCGCACTTGTGATATTGAGACTAAAGTCGCGCTTTCTTATTAATTAATGCTTGTATTTTGATTATTTAAAAAACATTATAGATAGGTAGCTAAAAAGGTGAAATCTACATTCTTTTTTTATCTTTGGACATTTTAAAATCGCTTTTAGTCCCAAACTAAGCAAAGCTTGGTAATAGACAACGGATATAAACATATAGACTAAGAGCTACTGAACGCCAGANTATTTAAAAATACGAACGAAAATAACTATCACGTGTTTAACCTTAGTTACCATGTAAGATATTATTCTGATAAACAGGAGTTGCCGTGGTGAGAATAACGTTTTCTTTAAGGATTTTTTTAGCTAAGATCTGGTCCGTCCGTCCATCCACAAGGTGGACCGACGACCTGATAAAGGTAGCAGGAAGGGGCTGGTGCAGGCCGCTACCAACCGTGCGATGTGGAAGTCATTGGGGGAGGCCTATGTTCAGCGGTGGACGTCCTATGGCTGAAATGATGATGATGATGATGATAGATCTGGTCGAGGGAAGCGTCTGGATGCAGGCAGCGCTGAAAGTTTCTATGGACTTACTTGACAAACCCTTCAGGTGTGACATTGAAGACGGCCTCAGAATGTCCCGGGCTTTTTCCTAGCACACAGATATCGTGGGTGATAGTCACATTCGTATTCGGTTCCGGAGATCCTGGGATCTCTACTGTCTGCGGCACGAACTGGACTATGTCAGGGTGCTGTATTTGCGCCGTCGCTGCTAGGGTGATGTTGTATTGCCCCACTTGGACCAACTTGAGGAGATATGTCTCGTCCACGAGGAGATTGAGATTCGTGACGTCCACGTACATTTTCTCGATCTGGGAGTGTGCGCTTGGTAAACCTGTGGAGTAAGGACATCATGGGTTAGTACTAGTTTTTTAAGTAATCAAACAAAATAGACGAATGTTTAATAAATAAAGCGGTTACTTCATAAATTAAGCATGCACGTTAATTACCATGCTTAGAAAAAGGAAACCTGCATGAATTATTTTCTTGGTAAATACTGTTGATAACGATTTGAGACAAAATATAACTGTCATTGGACGATGCCCATTGGTAAAAGTGTAAAGTTTTATATGTGAATTATTACAGGTAAAACCCTTTTATTTTTAAACAATTTACTGCAGTAAGCTTACCTAAAATCAACATGATAGCGGCGATGTGAAGGAATCTGTGACTAGATGAGCTGCCCGCGACTCCGCTCGGCAACGATTTTCCTCGTGCCATTTTGATCTAAGTATTGGTGTTCGTTTCTGTAGACAAAAGAAAAGTTACGTGAAAATACATACCTATTAAAAATTTTACTTCAATTTTAACTTCTACCCTTCTACCTCTACCTTCGCACTCACAGCTTTCTGCATAACCCAGGGGTCGACTGGCTGAGAATGCTTAAATAGCATTAAGTCCACCTTTTGTACTATTTTATTGTGCAATAAAGTTTTATAATAATAATAATACCTAACACACATAAATTAAAAAAAACATCACGCTAAAAAAAATGCTTAAAACATGCAAATGCACAATTAATGGATTTTCACAATAGTTACGAGTAACTTGACCATAAACTAAGCTCAGCGACTATTGAATTAAAAACATAGGTATTTTTAAACGAAAATATAGCAGTACCTACAAGTTTAAAAACCGCGTCGCAATGCAATAAAATTTATGTAATTCTTGTAATTTCATCGATAACAATAACGAACCGAATACCTAACTTTTATAGCTGTAGTTAAAACGCGTGCTTTTAATAATATTTCTTCGTCGTCATTATTGCGTACAGAAAAACTATAATTGCTTTCGACGTTAACATTCTATAATATAAGTGTTACGGTCAAAGTGATAAATGTGAAAATTATGAATAATCGCCGGTTATTATGTATAATTACCGCATGATTTGGTAAATGTGATTAATATGAGGTCATTTATGTGTGTATAAAATAAATAGGCGGCTTAGGGGTGGCCCAAGGGCCACCCCCGCCGCACCTTAACCTATTTTTCACTTTAAATCAAAACATTATGTTATAGGCATCATGGAAATGTAATATTATGCAAGAAACATTCCAAACTCATTATGCCAAATTATATTAATATATGTTATCAAAACGTTCAAAAGTTTGGCTGTACATCAGCACGCACACAAGATGTTGTTGTCTTTTATGAAATTTGTTAGTAGTAAGGTTTAATTATTAAATAATCACTGTTAAATGTGATTAATTTATCACTTTTACCGCGACTGTCGGTAATTATTCATAATAACCGGTTATTATTAATAATTTTCAATTTATCACTTTAACCGTAACATAAGCATTGCAGTTGAACATGAATTATTAAAATAGTGTTTTCAATTACTTTGTAATACCTGCCTTGTCCTGCATAAAAAAACATAAATTTTGTCTTATCATATCATATTGTATACTTAGTTGCTTTAAATTATTTTGACATCATACAATTTTATTATTGCCATCATTTGAAAACTTCGAAAACACATAAATACTTATAGTGTGTGCATTTAGGTAATTTGCTAAGAGACTCTTTCTGTCTCAAAGTCAAAGTTTCTTTATTTGTTTAGACTAATAAATAGTACCAGGCCTGTTCATCTCCGCGAGTTTACATCGAAAACAAAACACGCACGATGGCCCACCTACAGGATACTATTCGACAAGGCCTCACATACGAGCGAACATTGACTCACGCACGCGTATTCTTGTGTATGATGGAAGAAAATAAAGAAAATGGTGTACTAAATACTGTGCAGTATTTAACTGCCTAAATAATAATAAATAAAATAAAATAAAAGGTATTTATTTCAGGCATAGCCCATAAAAGTGTTAGTAACAAAGGTCTTATAAACTATGGTTAGTAAATCACACAGTAACCTAAACATAATTATAATTAAAGAACGACAATTTGGTGTCTTTAGTAAGATGGACGCAATAAATAAATGAATAAAAACACAGAATGTACTTTTTTATGTTGCCTCAAGACACTGAGAGGTAAATAAGTAGTTAATATTATTCATGATAATTCATGCTAAATCATGTATTTCCTCCGCCATTTTCCGCAGTTTGGCACCTCACGTGATCACGTTACATCATTTTACCGAAGTCAGCCCTATAGCTTCAGCGCAGTGCCGATCACTGACNATTATTCTGTGATAGTACTTACAAATCGTCTACAATGTAGACTCTACATTACTATGGTAATTTATTGCACTTCGATTTTGTGACACGCTCGAATTGGCGTGTACCTACATCACGTCACTTGACCGTTACGCACACTACAAAACTAATGTCCCGTTTTGGGACGTGCATTCATCACTTACTTATTTATTGTACTCATCAGAACTAAAGTCAACTTCTAAACCTGCGATATTCCCAATCAAAAAATGACCCGATAGTTTTGGATACGCTAGCTAGGGGAGACTGGCCCAAANGCCAGTCTCCCCTACCTTTTTAATTCGGTTTGTTTTAAGGGAACTAAGTTTTTAGACGAAAATAAAATTACAGTAGATTTTCCAAGAGAAAATGATTCAGTGGTTTTACATAATGATTCAAGAGTATGACTAAGTCATTATACGGTCGCCCGATAATAATTAAAATGGAAAATAAATTGTAGACCTTTCAACATTTCTAAATATTTTCAAGCGTCAATATTGCGAATAATATTCTGAGATAAATTCTTCCAAGACAAAATGTTCCAAAGTAACATTAAGAATATTGTACTTGTATTTGACCTAGTGACCAGAAAGTCTATAAGGTCCGTAGCGCAAAACAACGTTCAGTTAGGCCCAGAACAGACGGTGAAACGCAACTGCAACGAAACTGCAAATGCTAGTTACTTTTGAGTTGCATCTAAGTTTCTGCCATAGCGTCCGTTGAGAGACCACACATGACGCGACCAGTTTGAAACTTTCAGTTTCATTCTTCAGAATCATCAGAAAGTTGCAGTTTCGTTGCAGTTGCGTTTCACCGTCTGTTCTGGGCCTTGAATCCAGTTATTAATTCTTCTCAAAATTCTCAATCAATTTTTTGAGCTCCGTTAGTACTTACAATCTGGTCAAGTTAATTGCACACCTGGCAGCCGTGATATCACATTGACGCTCTGGTAGGTACTAACGGGGCGAACGCGGGGAGTAAAGTAAGGGTAAGTGCGAGGGAGAGTCGCGAGGTGCGCAGTTAGCTTTATCGTGTTGTATGTGGCAAAATGTAACTTTTATGTAAGGTACCTACTTAATCACCGTAATGCCGCTGGTTTTAATTAAAAAACTACTATAAATAACAAAAAAAGATAAATCAAATTGTATTGTTCCATTTGTGTTAGCATCCAACGATAAAATTAAATTGCATGAATTCAATTACATTTTATTGCACTCTTGGTATTCATAAACAACAAAACAATAGTACGTAAATTACATTTAAAATAATTTCACCTTTCAACAAATGCGTAATTGTTTTTCTCTTGTCAACAACACATCAGATTATACATTTTTATTGCAAAATCGTACATTTACAATTACGTTAAACAACAACAAACAATACGATAGGGGAAACCCTTAGGGTTCGGACAAACCAACGCGATCACACCGCGATCAGCCGGCGTGCAGCGATGGCGACCAGACCTTAATGCATTGATCGCCATCGCTGCACGCCGGTTGATCGCGTTGGTTTGGCCGAACCTTTAGGTATGTATAGCTGGTATAGCGCATAAACACATAAAATATTTTATAGTACCTAATATAACTTACTGTGAGAGTTACAAACAGTTTATTCGTATGTTAGCAGTTAGCATACATACGCTGTTTTTTTTATACTTACTTTATAACATAATAAATCAAGTATAAATTAACAACATGCCTATCAGGTCAGGTCATTAATGTCAAGAGTGGTTTACCTTAGAACCTTACGGAGGATGACATTGAAAACGATTTATTATTAGACATAAAACCATTAGGATATTCAATTATAACAACAAAAATATTATGATCCAGGAAAAAATACCGATATTTTTTTTACTTTTGAGTTTACCATCGATCCGAGACGAAAAAGTCTTTTTTTTTCCCTTTTATTACAACTAACTTGTGTTCTGAAGCTTAAATAAATACACTATAAATATTCTGAATTATTAATGCGAATCTAAACGTTAAAAACCACCAACTTTCTTCAGATAAGTGAAAATGTGTCACTTTTCTAATCAAAAATGATTCACTTTGCAAAGATAAGCTCGTGAAGTAATTCGATACTATAACTTTCGNCCGTTAGGTTAGGACTTACAACTTCGTCGAGTTAACTGTGCACCTGGCAGACGTGACATCACATTGACGCTCTGGTACTAATGGGGCGAACGCGGGGAGTAAGGTAAGGGTAAGTGCGAGGGAGAGTCGCAGGGTGCGCAGTTAGCTTAATTGTGTTGTATGTGGCAAAATGTAACTTTTATGTGAGGTACCTACTTAATCACCGTAATGCCGCTGGTTTTAATTAAAAAACTACTATAAATAACAAAAAAAGATAAATCAAATTGTATTGTACCATTTGTGTTAGCATCCAACGATAAAATTAAATTGCATGAATTCAATTACATTTTATTGCACTCGTGGTATTCATAAACAACAAAACAATAGTACGTAAATTACATTTAAAATAATTTCACCTTTCAACAAATGCGTAGCTAAATGTTATTCTCTTGTCAACAACACATCAGATTATACATTTTTATTGCAAAATCGTACATTTACAATTACGTTAAACAACAACAAACAATACGAAAGGGGAAACCCTTATGTATAGCGCATAAACACATAAAATATTTTATAGTACCTAATATAACTTACTGTGAGAGTAACAAACAGTTTATTCGTTATGTTAGCAGTTAGCATACATACGCTGTTTTTTATACTTACCTATCTTATAACAGAGTTATAATAAATCAAGTATAAATTAACAACATGCCTATCAGGTCAGGTCATTAATGTCAAGAGTGGTTTACCTTAGAACCTTACGGTGGATGACATTGAAAACGATTTATTATTAGACATAAAACCATTAGGATAATCAATTATAACAACAAAAAGATTATGATCCAGGAAAAAATACCGATATCTTTTTTACTTTTGAGTTTACCACCTATCCGAGACGAAAAAGTCTTTTTTTTCCTTTTGAGTATTTCAACTAACTTTTGTTCTGAAGCTATAAATATAAATATTCTGAATTATTAATGCGGATCTAAAAGCTAAAATCGGTTAAAATGATAGCCACCA